CCTTACCCTGCCTCCCCCCCCCTCCCACTTTACTTCAGTTCTATCCTTCCCTACCCTACTTCCTTCCCTCTACCTTTCTCCTCCTCATACCCCTCCCTCATCCTCCCACTGTTTTCTTTATTCTGGAAAGCCACACCCTTTAGTATTAAGCCGGATATCCCGGCTGTTTAATTTCAGTCAAAGATATATTTCAAAATATCAATATCTACAATATACACAATATGAACATGCGTATAATAAATAGCGTAACTTTAGCAGGGGAAAAAAGGGTCGTTGACAATTTTTGGAAAATGAATTGATCATTTCGTTAACTACGTAGAAAAAAAACGAAAAACGAAACGGACGTTTTAAAAAACTATCGTTTTTGAAAAAGATCGGGGTTTAGAATGAAAAACAAAGAAGTCGCTGTTAAGTTTTCGTTCGTTTATTCGTTAGGTTGTTTTTAATTTTTGACGATCGTTAACGACCATTACAGCTCTGCCTTTTTAAAATATATATTATTTTTACACCAAGATCATGTTCATGTCATTGACAAAAATTATCAATTATTACCATATCCAATAACAAATCAAATCAAATAACCCTAGACAACTATCTATATAATAAAGCAAGACATTCGTCTATATGTTCCCTATAGCCGGCCAAACGGCTGGACCAAATGAGCGGAATTTTTTTTGTAGACATTCATGGGTAGTTTGCAGGGTGACATAGTCTAACAAAATTTGATTCTTTTTTCAAATAAAAAAAATTTAAAAATTTTTTTTCCCACGGGCAACGCCGGGCACTTCAGCTAGTAGTGTATATGAATTATATACATAATTAGATGAATTGTTAGTGTTAAATAATTGTATATAATTGATAAGTAATTAAATAATTCATAACCTTGACCAGAATAGAAGTTTAACATATTTAAAAAGTACACGATCTAAGATCAATATGCAAAAACAAGATTGTTTTCGAGGCTGACAAAAATGTTTTATTCCTTTGAGTAAAGTTAATTTTTGTATTGCATTACAGAATGGTCGAAAGACCGGTCGGTGTTTAGAACAATCTAAAATAGCCCAGAAAATTTTTTGCATGAGATACCTTTGAAAATAAAACATGTTTTACATAATACCTGATCTTTAATCGATAAAATCCATCATTCTATCTATCTATTAACCAATCTACTAATTATTTTTTCGAACGATGGAGAAAGTTTGGGACAAGGATCGCTCGATCACCGACAAAGGTTCTACATCAGTGTTGATCTCAGATCTGCAAGTTACGACACAGATAGCTACGGTAAAGAAAGACTAATCTGATGTTTAAAGTTTTTACTAAGGAAATTTTTTAATAAGATATAACACGCACCGTGTTTGTAATATCTACAGTAATACTCCTGATAAGTATGCTATCTTTTAATAAGTAATTTAGTTTTTTCCTCACGAACTGCTTTATTATAAATATTTGAATATAAACTTACAAATAATTCAGAAATGGAAAAAATACGTAAAAAATGTATCTTTTAAATCTATTCCGACTTTATTGATTTATTTAACTATATTCGTATGCACATGATAACTCGTTAATAAACTTTTGTGATAAATTCATATTTTCAACAATCCTGTAAACTATAAATGATACGTAAATAAATATCTAGATTTCAAAAAAATAAAACAATAGTTTTATCTATGTATTACATCGATATGATATTATTCCTATTCCTGTAGGTGCGTACACAGGGTTTTAGCCAGGGGGGGGGGGCAAGTTTTCGATTGTGCGGATTTAAAACTGTCTGTTTCCTTATATTTTCGATTCCCTGCAACTGTAAACTTGTTTCTCTCTTTGCCAAATCATCAAATAAGCCATTCGATTCCTATATCTAAGGCATAATGCATAATTTAACCTTGGGATCGTAACATTCTAAGAGTTTCCGGTCGTCTTTACAGTCTTATCTTTTGTGGGTAACCATGTTTTTTATAATGAATCCCTCTGTATAGTTCTGTACTACTCTTTGAATTCCTGAGTAGTCTCCTGAAGACTACTCATTAGTCCTCCGTCCTCTTTATTCTCCCTTAATCCCCTCCTAGTGTAATTTCCCTCTGACCTTCATGGGGGTTGCGGGAAGACATGCCAAACACTTACATAATGCATATAGCTATAATTGTTAAACAAGACGGGGGGGGGGAGGAGTTTAGATAAAAGGGAAACACTAAGGTATAATTTCAAAGTAAATGTTCAACTACTTTTTAAGTGGATATCCACACCTTTGAAGATAAGGGCAAGCTCAATTTTTACCAACCACACCTGCTTTAAACCTTTGTCATAAATCCCAGGGGGGGGGCAGGGCCCCCTTGGGATGCCTAGGGGGGAGGGCAACAGGACTACTGCCCCCCCCCTGTGTTCGCGCTTGTATTCCTGCTGCAAAAAGTATTGGTCTAAAGCTGTTAAAATTTTCTGACTTTTCCTAAATACCTAAAGCCATCCCTTAAGCTCTAAAACCGGGCTTTTATACTAACTGCATGATTTTTCAGGCACACTGCCTGAACGACTACTTTTTTCCTGTAACTAACTAAATATTTTTTTGACCCATTTTTAGTTGTCATATTTTGATAAATTTTAGCTTTTAAGAGAGTCTGTGACTTAACGGATTGCACAAATTTTTCAAAGAAACTGTTGCATACCCGTTAAAAGAAATTGCCACACTTTTAGTTTTTCTTAATTACACATTAGGTGATTCAAAGTTTTGCAAAATTATTTCCATATTTGAACTAAATTTTGAAAAATAATTTTTTTGCAGATTCTAAAATTAGAGCTTAATAGCTTTCCAATGATGTATCATTTGTCATATTTGGACATCAAACATGGGATTTAGAGGGGGATCGAACCCCTCCCCCCCCCCAGCGTATTTTGGTTTTTAAGTACCCCAAGGATAGGGTTAAGTAATGTAGCTAGATTTTTACTTTATTCGGCAAGGTGGGGTTTAGGGAGGATGGGGGGGGACAGAAAAAAATGCTGATAACAAATATATTATATATATACATAAGTTGTATAATATATAATATACGTATATGTATATCTATATGTTTGGTTCGCAATAATGTTATATTTACAAATAATGGGTTAAATGTAATTTTCCTTCAATAAATTTTACGTACAATGATATGTATTTAAACAAATCTTGGTATATTCAATGCAAGGAAATAAATCAATATTAGTTTATATATATATATATCTTTCTAATTTTCTATTCAATCTGTCTATCTAAGTAACTTACTTTCTATCTATCTCTATGATGTACACCTGTGAAGAGAGTGGAGCTAGGCCATTCAGGCAGTAGTTCAATCCAAGCAGTGTCACCGGTATGACACAGAGAGGCCTAGTTACACTTGCATACAGTGCAACATGACTCATAGCTTCTAAAAACAGCTGTTAAATAAAAACATACATAGTTTTCAATATATTTCATTTGGCTTATCCTGGTTTGTTTTTATTCAATAAACGGCATAACAATTAGCCCGAATGCTCCATTCGGGCTAATTTTTATTTTGGCAACTTACATTGCCAAAAGGATAAGTTATAATTCGTCAATGCTGATTAATTGTGCGCTCAGCGACTTGCCAAAAAATTAGTTTTTAAAGAACGATGAAAAACTTTTAACTATTAAAAATCACCATTTAAAAGCTAAAATTTTTGCTTAAAAGGAGTTTCGAATCGACCTGAAAGCCTTGTACCGTACTGCAATACAAATATCGTGTTATATTGCAATAAAATGACAATTGATCTATTAGCTTATCCTAGACAACTGTAGTGTAGACTAATATACAAAATTTCGTTTTTATTGATTTTTGCGTGTAAGCTTTCAACCTTTGGAACACTGTTACAAATGCATAGTGAGCAAATAAGCTTTCGGTGCGTTCTGAAGTAATTTTCAGTACACACCGACCGAAGATTTAGTAACGTTTTGTTGAAAACATTTCAAACTCTATAAATACTTGATTAATTCTTATTGCTAACTTTCTAATAGGAAAGTTTAGAGGTAATAGTGGTAACAGTGTTACGGGTGACTTAATGTCAAGCACTGATTCGAGTATTCTTTGCTTATTTTGGATTTCTTTTTATATCTTTAAAAAGTTTACACTAAAAATAGAAATCAAAACTTATCAGCGTTTGCTGATATATTTTAACTTGATTTAAGTTTTTAGTTCAGTTTTTTTTTCAATTTTAAATCAAATAATTTATTTTATTTACGCTTCAAGTTTTTTATAATTATTATCCAGGGTTGTATGAGGAACCGGCTTTAATGTCTCATCCTATGTGTGTAGCTCTGTAATCAGAACTTATGTTTTGTATTTTAAATCATAATATTATTATAAAAAAACAAACACAATATTAAATATAAAAATAAAAGGTGTTAATCATCTATAAAAAGTCAAGTAATCATTACCATGAATTTAAAAACAAAATGAGAATAAGAACTAAGAGAAAATGTATTTAATAGTTCTAATTGCCATCAAAACAATTACAATTGTTGTCAATATTTTTTTTAAGATGTTTTAAGCTAAAGTAAAGAAATACAACTTTAATATTGTAAATTAATTGATTATACAATATTAGACTTTAATAGATTTATTTTGTTTGGGAAATACATCTAATTTGATTCTGGTCTGTGAAAAAAAAAATCCAAAAAAACCAATAACTTTTTTGTGACTAGCGCTTTCAGATCTAAAAACTATAGTTTTGAAAAGCCCTGAAAAAATGCATATAGAAACTTGTGTCACACGTTGATATTTGTTTAAAACAATTTTTCTTAATTTTTTTACTCTTTTAGGCATTTTTTCAACCCTCTCTAGCACCCAAACTATTAAAGTTATCGGTATAATTTGCTTTTCTTTGAGCTGGCCCTGAAAAATTGTGCTATGAACATGCATTTTAACCCTATAACTATTCTAGGGGGGGGGGGGCAAACGGCCCCCCCCGGCCATACATAGATTTAGACCCCCCCCCCAGCCTTTATAGGGTTAAATTTCCATAAAGTACATGTGTCTAGGGCTATAAAAAAGTATGAGTAAGTTAATCAGGTAAATCAAAAGTCAAGGCGTTATGACACTTTTAAGTCGACCCATCTAGAAAACTGATGCAATATTTTTAGCAGTCTGGGTTAATGTTACTTTCCTTAGCCCCTATGGGATTCATGGGAGAAAAAAGAGAAATATAAGATTTAATTGGAAGTGTTTACCTTATTAAAGAGACAAACAAATAGCCTATGTTACCAATCTTGGTGTTTCCAAGGGTAGAAATTATTAAGTTTCTTTGATAAATATTTTCGATTGACAATGTAAGTGAGGCTTTCTATTCTATTTTTAGGGTACAGATTACGCGTAATTTATTAATATTGTAGGAATTTCCAAGTTATTATGGAAGGTTTTTATATTCTTGTATACCCTTGAATGCACACCAATGACTCTGATAATAGTTTTTGCAATTCACAGAAAATATACAAAACTAATAATAAAATAAAAATTGTATTTGTTTGATAAATGTTGCATTCCAGAAAATGAAAGAAACAAATGGGAGTAAGATTACAGAAACAAGAAAACAGGTAAAATTCCCATTTTTCATTTTATTATTTTTTTAGCATTTTAGATTTTTAATTGAAGGTTTTTGAATTGAGTTCATTATTGTTTTTTGTTGAATCCTGTTTTTTTCGTCAATAACAGATTTTTAAATGTGATTTTTCTATTGTACGTTTTTTACTTTTTTTTACAAATCTTTATACTCTATTATTTCTGAATATTTCTTTCACAATTGACTTGAGCCAGAGTGTCCACTGACACGTAATAATGTACATTCATATTCTTAAATAAAAACTTTTTTTTGAATATGGATTTATTTTCTTGCTTTAAGATCATGATTTCAATTTTAAAATTGATAATTTAAATTAAATTCAAAATTAAATATTTTGAATCTATACATAGTTACGTATAAAAAATGAGAATGAAATGGCGACCAAAATCTTAAAATTTTAAATATCTAATGGTTTGGTTTTATTTTCTTTCCAGATTGAATTCGTCTACAAAGTTTCACACAGTATAGGAGTAGTGATTATGGACAAGTTTTCTAAAAATAAACTTTTGCTAATTTCTTAGACATATTATTGTAAAAATTTTCAGTAATACTAATTTCATGTCATCATCTTCTGTAGATAAAGGGTTTTATTTTCCGACGCAACTTTAATTTTCTAACCTCTATATTTAATTGAACTTAATGATGTAAACCTTTGATATTTAAAACTTATAATATTTGATCTAACAAGAATAATGAACATAGTTTGAAATATCAAAGATCTACGACATTCAGTTGCGAAGATAGTAATAGCTCTCGGAAATGATATTCAGAGACACCTGTTGGTGATACAACTAACTATAGGAACTATGTATCTAGGTGGATGAGGTAACTGATGTTATGCGCACCAATATGACACGAATCCTAGAAAGGGAAGGAAAACTGGGAGAGCTAGAACTTAGGGCTGATCAGTTACAAACAGATTCTCAACAATTTCAGGTTTTAATTATAGAAAAAATGTTTTTAAAATCTTTTTTTTTCAATTTTTTTTGGGAATCGCCATTATGATCTATTGCTTAATAGTATCAATATCTAACAATACTCTCCTAACTATTGTCTGATTGATAATATAAAAGATATCATACATTTCTAACTTGAAAAATATTTATTATTCTGACAATTTCCTTCTTTGTTTCTGTACCCAAAATTCTCAAGTGACTTCTTACCCTGGACGTACAACTAACTTCAGCGAATTTATCCTGTTTCGCTCTCTAATTCAAAATTCGCCAAAAAAAAGCAAAAAAGATGGTTTATATATAAATATTAAAAATACATATCATCTCAAAAAAAATTATGAAAAAGCCAATACGAAAAATCTATATTTAAGGGGTTAAAATTGGTTGGAAAGTTAAGACTTACCGAACTTTTAACAAGGACCTTAAGTTCACCGTAACTGTGGTTTTTCCTAAATAATTTAAAAACGGCTGACATTAGAACGTATAAACTTCTTCGCCTTTTCAGCATCATAGAAGTAAACAAATTTGAAATAATTTTTTATATGGATATAGAAAGGTGGAGGAATGTCAGTGTCTCAAAAAAATCAGAAATGTTTAATAACTTTTTTTATTAATTAAGCTATTTTATTATATTTGAAAAGCCCTTGATAAATGGATGTAATATCATTTGTCACATGTTGATTTTTAATAATTATTTTTGAACATTTTTCAACGTACTTTTAAAACTTTTATTTATTCATTCCTGGCACCCTAACCATTAAAGTTAGAGGTCTTATTTTTAATGAGCAGGCCTTGAAAAGTTGGACTAAGAACATGTATACCAATCCCTTATCTCAATTCTAAGGGCAAAATTATAGGAGGGTGCCGGGGTGAAAGAGGGTGAAAACACCCAACCGGGATAGGGTTAAGAGCAGCCACAACATTCAGAGTATGAAACATAGATATCTTATTCAACATTGATCATACAATTGTGCATCAGACATTCCACTCCAGAATGGGGTCACTTACAAATATTTTTAAAGCCCCTTTTAACCCTATTCCTGCTGGGGGGGGGGGTCAATTTGACCCCCCCCCTACCCCCCCCCAGCGGGAATAGGGTTCAGAAATTGGATTATAAAAAGTTTGCCATGTTTGTGAAACGAAGTAAAAAATCCAAATCACTAAAAAATTGAACCAAGAATTATTTTTTTTTTTTCAGCAAACTGGAGTTAAACTAAAACGGCAGTTCTACTGGGAAAACATGAAAATGAAAATATTGATCGGAAGCTGTGTGGTTCTTGTAATTATTATCATTATTGCTAGTGTGGCATCAAGTTTTTCCACATCAGACTAGTGCCACATCAAGAATATTGTGTTCTTGTAATTATTATAATTATTGCCAGTGTGGCATCAAGTTTTTCAACATCAGACTAGTGCCACATCAAGAATATTGTGTTCTTATAAATCAGAATCATTATTGCCACTGTATAGCATTTTTTTCAAGACCAGGTACTTGTGCCAGCGCATAAATAATGCTATGTTTTTATAAAATATGATCATTTTTGCTAGTGTTACATCAAGTTTTTCCATATTGGACTATAGCACTAGCATCAATAATACTACAGTGAAACCCTTAATAACGAATACATCGAAAGAATTCATCAAATGTTGTATTTTTCACTTTCTGATAATAGAAAGTTGCAGATATTTAGTTTTTTAATTAAATGATTATATGGAACTCTTTAAAACTGTTCCCGCATGTATTCAAGGCTATTCATTTATTTTCGCAAATACTGAAATTTACGTAATATAGTATAAAACTCATTGAAAAATTGTCAAGACGACATTTGATAAATTCTTCCGATGTATTCTTTATTAAGGGTTTCAATGTATGTTTTCATAAATCATAATCAATATTGCCAGTGCCACATAAAAGTTTTCAGAGTGACAGCTGAACATTGTTAATGGTTTGTTTGTATATAATCATTATCATTATTACTAGTATATAGCATCAAGTCCTTGCAAGCATCCACTTTTTTCTAAACATCAAAATATCAAAATGTAGGAAACATATTTTAATAAGGATTATTTTATATTTGTATAATGTGTCATATTTATGAAAAAATCGAATTAAAAACATTTTAAAAGTATACATTTATCTATTTACTGTGGTAAAATATGAAATGCACAATTATAGCCTCGGCTCTTAATGTGTAATTTCAGAAAATTTATAAAAAAAATTTGTACTGCAATCTCTTAATTTTCAGTATTAGAAAAAATTTTTTTTTATTGTAATGGTAATATCATTTGTTTTCGTTTTTGTGTTTATTTAACTCTTTAATAACAGATAAATAATCTGTGTGAATTTCTCTGTCATAAATCTTCCTACCTTGTTCCATTCAAACCAAAAAATATTTTAAACTTAAAGAGACTGTGTGCGTAATTTCAAGTTACCTTCCATTTAAAAATCGAGGCATGTCCGATTCACAATGGCACCATTCAACCCTTTGTCCGGACAACGATGAGGTAGATATTTGTTTAGCTAAAGATTGAGTGTCGGGAGGTTAAAGTGTACACTGTACACTCCGTGCTAGTGTACACTGTACACTGTACACTACGTGCTAGTGTACACTCGCGCGGTTTCAACTGGCACTTAATTTCCCACTAAATGAAAAATAATAGCAACGAAATCCTGGATTAAACAAAGGTTTAAAGGGTATCGTTGTAAATCGGACATGCCACTTTATAAATGGAAATTACGCTTACAGTCCCTTTAAAATAAGTTATGACATGAGACCAAAGAACCGTCAACACCCTGTGATATAAAATTTTTAAAATTTTTTTATATTTACTTTTTAATCTTTAATTCTTTAATATCTATCTTTTTAATACATACATTTTTTGTCAATTAAAATATTTTTTTTTATCTCATGTGACTTAAATGTATATCTATATGTATATTAATTCTTAATACATTATGTCAAAAAGTTTATTTGTTAAACAAATAAAAATTATTAACTTAGAATATTTTTTTTCTTCAGTTTTTAATTTACACTTGGTTTTCGGGTTGTCTAAATTCTTGTTCTAATATAAACTCTTGGTTCAGTTCAACCCTACTATTGACTAAATTATTGTTCTATTATTAACTCTAGTTTTAACCCTACTCTTTTCCTATTCCTAATTCTCGTTTTCATATTAACTCTTGTTTCAACCCTACTCTTGTCGTAATCCAAATTCTTGTTCTAATATTTACTCTTGGTTCAACCCTACTCTTGTCGTAATCCAAATTCTTGTTCTAATATTTACTCTTGGTTCAACCCTACTCTTGTCGTAATCCAAATTCTTGTTCTAATATTTACTCTTGGTTCAACCTTACTCTTGTCTAAATCCTAATTCTTGTTCTAATATTTACTCTTGTTTTAACCCTACTCATTGTCTTAATCATAATTCTTGTTTTAATACTTACTCTTAGTTCAATCCTACTCTTGTCTTAATCTTAATCCTTGTTACAATACTTACTCTTGGTTTAACTCTACTCTTGTCTTAATCCTAATCCTTGTTATAATACTTATTCTTGGTTCAACCCTACTCTTGTCTTAATCCTAACTTTTGTTTTAATACTTACTCTTGGTTCAACCATACTCTTGAATTAAACCTAATTCTTGTTCTAATATTTACTCCTGGTTCAACCCTACTCTTGTCTAAATCCAAATTCTTTTTCTAATATTTACTCTTGGTTCAACCCTACTCTTGTCTCAATCCTAATTCTTGTTCTAATATTTACTCTTGGTTCACCCCTACTCTTGTCTTAACCCTAATCCTTGTTCTGATATTTACTCTTGGTTCAAACCTACTCTTGTTTTATTTCTAATTGTTGTTCTAATATTTACTCTTTTCTTAATTCTAATCCTTGTTATAATATTTACTCTTGGTTCAACCCTACTCTTGTTTTATTTCTAATTGTTGTTCTAATATTTACTCTTTTCTTAATCATAATCCTTGTTATAATATTTACTCTTGGTTCAACCCTACTCATGTCTTATTTCTAATGCTTGTTCTAATATTTACTCTTGTTTTAACCCTACTCCTTGTCTTAATCATAATCCCTGTTTAAATACTTACTCTTGGTTCAATTCTACTCTTGTCTTAATCCTAATCCTTGTTATAATACTTACTCTTGGTTTAACCCTACTTTTGTCTTAATCCTAATCCTTGTTATAATACTTATTCTTGGTTCAACCCTACTCTTGTCTTAATCCTAACTTTTGTTTTAATACTTACTCTTGGTTCAACCATACTCTTGTCTTTTTTCTAAATCTTGTTCTAATATTTGCTCTTGTTTCTACTAGATTTCAATACTACAACATTTTTCACCTGTTCATCGTCGTTGTCATTTCAAATTATTAATTTGTCGTTAAACCCTTATTGCGACTGAGGGGGTCAATATACCCCAAATAGTTTTTTTTGCGAAAATTCGAAATGAATTTGAGACTTGAAGCTTTTATACCTAGTGCCTGAATTCTAAGGCATATCTGCATGCTCCCAAATTGCCGTATTTTATCTAGAACAGGCTAAATCTATATTTGGACTTACTTCCAGTCCAAAGTGAATAAATACAGAAGGGGAACAGAAGTGGTTTGGAAATAATTGCATGAAAAGATTTCGTTTGGAAAGTAAAGACTAGAAAAAATAGACTAAAGACCCATGTTAATGTTGTCTTCAGTTAGAACTTCGAAATTTTCATAATTAAAAATCAAAACACTTAGCATGTTTGTATGTAGTTTATATGTAAATACTATATATAGCCGCTTAATCAATTTATTGATTTTGCATGGCACTTCTAATTCTATAGGAATTTATCTTTAAAACTGCTTAGTTTTGTTCTTTCAAATCTTATTCATTTCGAAAAAAGTTTGTAAATTTCTTAAATAAATCTATGTTATTATCCAGAGGCGTATTCAGGGGAGGCTATAGGGGCTCATCCCCTTCCTGGATCAGCGAAATATATGTTTTTTTGGGGGGGGAATGGAGGGGTTCGGCCTCTCCCCCCCCCCCTTAAAAAGAAAAAGAAATGTAAGCCCTTCCTGAGAAAAAAAACTGAATACGCCTGTCTTAATATCCTTCAAACTATGTCTAGTTCTCAACCACTCTTAAATCTGTCAAAATTCAAAAGTGAAGACCAAGAGATATATTTCGAAGATCTTCATTTTCGGTATCACAAATTGTGCATTCCTTGTTTTACAGATTATGCTTGCAGGCATTATTGTGCTGTCTGAAATCATTTATTGTGCAGTAAAATGGCTAAAATTCACTTCTGAAATCTTAATTTACATTAATCAATATTTAAGTTAAATACAAATTCTAAGTCTGTGTTTGTAAACAAAGGGAGTCCAGTTTCTGTTGTACTGTGCACTCCGTACAGACCAATTTATATATATATATATTATTTTTAAATACTTGGGACATAAAATGTCGTCATCCAACTATGAGTTTGGCCGGCCCGGCCACTTTAGTATTTAATCACTTTGCTTCCAGTCATCATGGATTTCAACAATTTATAGCTCTTTGGGAAGTCCATAGCAAAAGAAATCAGATTGCAAAATTTGGGAATTTACACATTTCCAGTTTCCGTGAATACACATTTAGGTTTTGAAAATTTTGCACAAAATTTTACAGATTTGAATGAGCCTCTCAAAAATGTATACTTTGTCGCATTTTGTTCACTTTTAGCTTTATCATATGTTATGCTAAATAATTCTAACCAATAAATATATGCAATTTTTTTAATTAGAGTCCTAGGGCTTTGCTAAAACGTATCAAATGTTATAGATTTGTTTCAAAATATTAAAATATGACCCCCCCCCCCCCTTCAGTCTATTTTGGGTAAACTAGACGTCCTTCGGAATAGGGTTAAGAGAATCATGTCCAAATCGTAACGGTACCTTTGAAACCTTTATGTGATTAAAAAATGACTTCCTATAATTACTACATTTATACCACACTTGAACATAATCAGTTTTAAAACCCATAGGAGTGTTTCAGCTGAAATTGAAAATATTAATATAGTTCTGTACTAGCTACGGCCATTCAGATGGAATGATTTAAAAGAGAGAATACTAGCATGTACTTAAAGAGAAGGATGGAACAGATTTAAATAGATTGATGGGAAAGAAAATTTTGATCGTGGAACTCTGTACATTTTATCTAATTTACCTTTTCTTCATTTTTGAGCTGATTAGCTTCTTAAAAGTAACTCGTACTGATGCATGATCATGAATAAAATGAGTTGCGGCAAGTATTGTTAATACTCTGTATAAATGATTTGGGTGATTTGTTTTGTATAGAGGACCAGTAATTTACACAATTCAGAATAACAAGACTGTTCAATTTAAAATAGTTCTCTGCAGATTGACCCTGAGAAGTACAGTTGGGCAAAGTTCTGGAAACAATACGGAATTCTGGGTTACGGTTTACGTACCACGTGGATTTAACGGTTCTGTCAATATTTCAGAAAACTGTAACTTTCGATCACAATTTGACCCCTTTTACATAATGTTATAGCCTTTTATCTTAAATATTTTTGTGTTGGCATGTACATTTTGAATGAAAAGTTATAAAATAAACAAATCTGTAAGTCCACAGACTGTTGAGTTATAGACGAAAACACGTTTGATTTCAAATAAAAGAAACCG